AAAAAATGGAACATTGTCTAGTGGATAATCTCTAAATGCACGTGATTCTAAACAAAAATTAAACAACATTAATGCTCTATCTAATCATTTTAGATGGATTCACAATCAAGTAAAAAGTAGAAATTTTAATTTCTTTGCAATAAAAGCCTTGTATATATAATTATTGGCTAGATGTGTTAAAACAAATATCTTTTCAGTCCCCTTCTTCAAAGAATTTTACACATTAGAAGAAGCTTTAAATCTCTATAGAGAAATGATATGATTTAATATGATTTAGTTTTTATCTATCTGAAAAAGTTAACAGACTATTAATATGCAAACCTCCACTTCTTAAACATCATTTTCATCTTCATCAATACAATTTTGTGATAGTTGCCAAACTATGACCAATGTTGTTAAAGATTTGAATTTTAGAAAGCAATTATTAGAAGAAAAATTACAAATCCTTGAAGACGAAATTGATCTCAACAAACCATTAGTAAACATTAAAATGAGATTCTTTAATTACAAGATAGTTTAAAAGACTTGGTTCTAGAGATTTCGTTGAAAGACCATTCCAAGATATTGCTTCTACAAGTAGAATTTATTCTAAAAAATAGAAAGACTATTGAATTAAAAATTCTACAGTTGTAGGGCATGAAAAGACGTTATATGAATTAGAACAGAAAATTGTCAATTATTTCAATATTATTCAAAATTCTATAAAGTAATCAGTCATACAGGAGAGAATCGATTTTTCTCAAATTCTAAACTATTATCACAACGAGAATCGACATTTTCGCTCCAAATACGAATCATCCACTAAAAAATCAACTTTCTTTAGACACAGCTATCCTAAAATTTCCTTCAACTTTATAGCTTTTAAAGAAGACATTTTTTATCCAGTCTTACAATATGACATGATATACACTATGCCCTTGTTTGAGCCCCATTTTTTTTTTTTTTTTTTGGAAAAAATGAGTTTTTGGATAGTATATTGATAGGAAATGTGTGGTTAAAACATGAAGAAAAATTTTAGATTTGCATGTAATATTATTTTATTAAAAAATATGTAGTTAAGATGATGTTAAAATACTGTTGAAAAATACATTTTTCCAAAAGAATTGGGTTCAAACAAGGGCTATATATGTTTAAATAGATCTTTCAAATTCTCTTCACCCAAACTTAAACAGACTCTTGATCAATTAAAAAATTGCCCATTAAGTATCAAATTCATTTCCAGACCACCTCTTGTAAATAATACTATAGTAATACCAGCTTATCATTTTATTCAAATATATGAAGGACCCACTCTTCAAAGACAAATTGAAATTAGATATATTGATTATAAAAGATGGATCTCAGTGGTAACAGCAACGATAAAAATTCAAAATAATGATTTCAGACTTGTACCATGGAATATTCAACAGAAAAAATTATATCTAATGGTTTTTCAAGAAATAGATGACGAATTATCAAAAAATTAATCAAATACAGAAGAAGAAGAAGAAGAAGAAGAAGAAGACTATTTGGTGGCAAATATAATGAAATTGATGCCGATTTAGAAGAAACCTACAGAGAGATAATAAAAATAGTAGAATAATTCAAAAGAAGAAAAGGCATAAAGACAGAAAAATGGCTATTATTAAAAAGCAAGAACAATAAACAACACTCAAAGGACAATTATCAATACAGAGAGAGCTTGAAGAGAAAAAAAATCTTTGTTATTTCATACACCAGTAAAGTTAATATCCACACCTTCAATTGTAAATCACATACTTGTAAAGATATACAATATTGTTTACTTTTTTATAAGAAGTTGATGTGATATATCAATATCTACATTTCTAGAAGAACCAAAAGTATTTCACACAAGAAAACACACACAAAAAGACAAAGCACACCATATAGCACTAGTATTCTAAATTCTTTTCTCAAATATTGTAAATTAAAGACTTCATATTAAATTAAGTTCTTTAATACTTCCTTTTGCTTTATAATTCTCTTTTACTTTATTTATTTTTGAGTAAGGCCTAATAGGGGAAACATTAAGTAAACAATTAATTTATTCAGATGTATATTATAATATTTTATTCCCTTTTGAAGACATATTCCTAACACTCTTAACCTCTTTATTATGGATTCCATTCCATGGCCAAAAGATAAAATAGTCCTATAAGTTAAGTTGGCTATATTTATCGTAATTAAAAGAATTTGTTTAAGCCTTTTTAAATATGATGAAAATCTTTTTGGTTATAATTTTAAACATTTTTAAAAGGTTAAGAAAAAAGCTAAGAGAGTTAAAAAAAAAAAAAACTTTGAAGAAATTAACTTGCTGAATGATAAAATACTCTAATGACATTACAAATATACTGTTTCAAGTTTTTATATTTTATGCCATTTGATAAATTTACTTCACCTACTTTACTTTGTTGTTCTTTAGAAAGTTTATATAAATTAATATTTGTTTAGAAAATTGAGAAATTGGTAGATTAGTGTTATAGAAAAATCATATATTATCCGCATTAGATAGAAATAAAGGTGACTCCTCTCTATAGATCAAGAAGCAAATTAATGAGCATTCTACTTTTTAGTGTTGGAGCTTCTTGATAGAAGATCCTGAATGTAACAAAAGATGGGAAGAAATAAAAATTGTGAGAAAAATAAAAATAATGATAATATAATAAAAAGAAAGACGAAGATTTTCTCTTAGAAACACCTTCTAAATTTGGTATTGGAGTCCTTTCCTAGTCCAAAATACTTAGTTTATGAAAAGAATAGATTACTTAAATCTAGAACTTCTAGAAAATTTTAAAAGAAAAGACACTTTAGATACAATCTCTTTAATTTGTAACTTTGGTAAACATCTTTTACATTCTAAAGATAGACAGTTAAATAGTGTTGTAGATTTTCTCATAAACTTAGCAGAAGATTTAGAAAGAAACAATTAAAATAAAAAGGTAGAAACTTTATTAGAAAGTATAAATAAAAATAAAAAAACTTCAGAAAAAAGAAATTTCATAATATAGGTGAAAGAGACAATGGCCCCCCAGCTTAGAGAAATTAGAAAGTAGAATTAAAATATTTAAAAAAAAAGTCAATAGATACTAAGCAAGATTTAGATAATTAAATAAACAAGCTAGAAAAACTAGATCTAAGAAAAGCTAAAAAGTCTAATAGATTTAAAAAGATTAAGTGGATTCATACTTAACAGGTAAGGGAAAGCAAATTGTAAACAGTAGTAATAGAGTAGTAGGTAATTCTTTACTAGGGACATTAAGAAGAAAAATAAAATTCGAGACAAGATTAGAATCTTTAATAAATATCGAAGAAAATATAGAAATATTTAGACAAAATAAATTAAAATTATTAAGCTTTGACATATATAAGAAGGAAAATATTTTTAGCAAATCATCAATAAATCAACATTATGGTGAAAGATATGTGTCTTGTATACATGAAGATCAATTTATATCACTGAATTTAACTGAAAAAAGAAATTTATAAAGAAATTGTTAATAAAAATCTTTAACAAACTCATTTAGAATTAATAATATTAGCAATAAAGGTACTTTATAGAAGAAATTTAAGAGCCAAAATATTAGAGTACTTATATGATAGCAAATTCACAAACATAGAACAAAAACTATTATGAAGCATAGAATTAGACATAAATAATGAAAGTGGACTAGAATACTTTACACCAAATTATTTAGTTAAAACAAAAAGTTTTTATAAAGACATTAAAATAGACAAAAAGAGTAAAGATATTGAATGAAAAGAGATAAAAAACAATTTGTTAATTTGTACATGATACATAGGGAGACTTAGTGCAAACAGTTCTACTAGTTATAAATTAGAAAATAATTAAATAATTACTTTATTATGACAAAAAGGCATAAAAGTAATCCCTACAAAGAAATTCTCTTTAGAAACAAATGCATAATTAGATTGGAATCTAGGAAGCTCTTTAAAAATACCAATAGTGCTACCAGAAGATAATATTATGTACAAAAATAACAATAGAACTCTAAGTATTAGATTTGGGAATTACAATTACCAAGCTGAAAAAATAAAGCATCATGAAGAATAAACCGACGAATAATGTAAATATATTGAAATAGAAGACTATGAAAGTGATGAAGAAGCCAATACATTAAATGAAGATGGTGAAGACGATGAGAAAGAATTTGGATACATAGATATTAAATTTTATAGAAATCTTAGAAAATCTAGAAAAGTTGAAATTAAAGCTTTTTTAGAAGAAGATCAAAAGAATATAGAAATTAAAATGGAAGAAAGTAATGAAAGTAATAAAAAATTCAAATAAAAAACTGATCAAGAATTTGGGGGAAAAAAGAACACATGAATACAGAATACGACATAAGAGGGAACTATCATTTTCCCTTGCAATATTAAATGCGTGGGAGGAGACTGCACCATCAACTTCCCCAAACCTCTCAACATTATAGACCTCTTGTCGTCGTCGATGCATGAATCTCAACTTCGCTTCACATGTCAAGGTGGTCTTGGAGCATACAGTGAAACTGCCGTCCTATCCAAATTGCGAAGCCATATCTCTGAACTCCCATTCCAAGTCATTGAGCTTTGGATCACGTATGGAGCGATGCTTCCGGTGGAAAATTCCCTCGATGGATTCTTTCATCGGAACTCAGAGAGAGAAAGAGAAAGAGGGGACTAAGGTTTAGATTTAAAATTAATGAAAAAATACAGCATTTTATACTTTATAATTATTTTTCACGTGATTTTTCAAAAGGTATTATGCCTCTATTTGAATCTCATTAATTTTTATTCTATTACATTCCATTTTTTCTCTTCTATTTTCAATTATACAATTTTTCATAAAATAATATTACATATAAATTTAAAAAAAAATTCTTCTTTTTCAACCACTCTTTTTTTTTTTTTTCAAAAAAAATATTACTCATTTTCATATAAAAAAAAATGGGGCGGGGGCTAATGGGCTATGTTTAGGGTATGTGGTCTAATATGCCCTTAATATTCACAATCGGCCCATTCCAAGTCTGTCAAATCCAGCATAGCACATTTTAATTCTCTCCATCGAAATTTCTCCGATCTCTGATCTGAATCAGAGAGGAACAAAGACAGTGAAGCAAATTTTCGCAACAATGGTGGGATCGTCGAGTTCGTGGTCAACTGCTTTGGTTCGTATCTCTCCGTACACTTTCGCTGCCATCGGAATCGCCATATCTATAGGCGTTTCCGTCCTCGGCGCCGCCTGGTATCTATCTGTGCATTCGAAGCCTATTGTGTATTTCGTTACGTTATATCTGATTTCTTTGAACTATGCAAAATTGTAGGGGAATATATATAACTGGGAGTAGTTTAATCGGTGCTGCGATTAAAGCCCCTCGAATTACTTCCAAAAATCTCATCAGGTACCATTTTTTTCTACAATAAGTTCGAAAACCTGAGCTTTGAAACTCAAATATGTGAATTGCATATTCATTTATATATGAACCTAAGTTTTATTCTATTTATTGACTCGGATTTTCTGTTCTGGTATTTGTTTCATTTTTAAATGGGTGAATCTATTCTGCATTTTTGGTAGTTGTTGACACATTCTGAGTCTGAGACACTTAAGCACAATTCGGATAAGAATCAGACTGCGTAGGAAATATACCGGTGGAATGAAACCTGTAGCTGTCCACGTTTGTCATCCAGGAATCATATTGGCAAGATATGAAAATATTGGGGATGGATTTTAGATGGTGGTTTTCACCAGAATTGCTTCCTTGACACTTTGGAATCAGATTGGCAAGATATAAAAATATTGGGCTGGATTTTAGATGGTGGTTTTCACCAGAATTGCTTCCTCGACACTTCGGAGACTGTTATAGGTAAAATTTAAAATCCTACTCTGGTTTAGCTTACAATAAAATACTAACCCAAAGAGCTTGAGCTACTCCCTCTAATATGGTTGTCTTAAATATGGACCAAGTCTTAATATTGTATTTGTATCCTAGCCCACTGCTTAAACGAATAAATCACTTCATCTAAGCTCAATTGAGTGATTGAATTTCAAGATTGGTGTGCCCAAATAAAGGCCCATCTTTCAGGACATGTTAAGGGTCTCATTAATTAAATATAAAATAATTCTAATCAACATATAAAGGTTTGGACTAGTCTTAATAAGATTAGCATTTTGTGATTGAACTCTGAAGTCTTAATAAAGATACTTCATCTTAAGCCTGGAAATCCATGTGAACTACAGTATTAGTTATCAAATGCTTGGATGAGACTACTTTATCCATCACCTTTTCATTACGCGAGAGTAAATTGTCCCTGCAGCAATTTTTTGAGAGAAAATAAATAAATAAATAAATAATTTAAATTAAAGACAACAAAAGTAGAAATTAGATTTCATTTCCACTGTGGCACTTTCAGTCCCATATTTCTTCCTATTTTTCTTTTTATTTATTTTTTATATTTTTTTAAAACCGAGTATGTAGATGTAAATGTCTGACATACAGGTCTCAGAACGTAATGGTACTTGAAACAATTATTCAGTTCCTAAGGACATGAACACATCTGACATACAGGTCTCAGAATGTAATAGTACTTGAAACAATTATTCAGTTCCTATGGACATGAACTGCTTAAAAGTAGTTCATTTCTCACCTCAGTCAATCTGTATCCTATATTGATTGACACTAGCTGATGAACCATGCATCTAGAGTGTACTTCATCAAGACATGCTAATGTTAGATGCCCGTACCACTGAGGAAGTTGTTAGTATTATATAGTAAGTATGATGATTGACATTAGGATGAACAAATGCTAAATCACATATATTTTCAGACGCCACCTATCTTCTTGATGGGCTAAGGAAGAGTGAGATTGAGGTCCTAGTCCCCAGAATGTCGCTTTTTCTCCTGCTTTGCAGAGATAAAGAACAGGGGCTCCCTTGAAAGAACAAATAAGGAGATGGCTAATGGACCTTGAGAAGTCAAAGGTTTAATGATCTTGTTTATTCTCATAATGTAAATGAGTAATATTCATTGCACAGTAGTATAGGAGATATTATAGAATCTCAGATACTCGAGTCATGAAAACTAAATTATCTTTTCTTCCTCGCTTTCCCTAATACGTGCTTTGTTATGGAGTGATGTTCAAACTGCTAAATTGTAGCACTACAACAATGGATGGATACATCAGAAGTACAAAGGTTTTCTCTCTTAGCCGTTGTCACGAAGAATTGAAAATTGTTTTAATTTATCAAGAAGCAACGGATGCCCACCGTTATATATTGGACGTAGTGAAAAGTGTGCAAAGGTTTGTTCGGGTCTATTAGCTGTAGATGGATGTATTAACTATATTAGAAGAATCTGGATATTAGATGTCCTGGACCCTATGAAGAAGATAAAAATGAGATGGAAGTGTCTGGGTAAGTGAAAAGATGTCAAAATAAATTTAGAAAGTGTTATGGAGACTTTTTATAAGACTAAATGCAATATGGACAATACAAATTAGAAAGGTATTAATCCTTAAAGTGATTGACCATAGTTTTTTCCCCTTTTTTTAAGGCCATTAGAAACTTTTATCAATTAACATTGCCACGACCAAGGGGCGAAATAAAAATGAGCATACAATCTATCCACGCACAATCTGGTCTATCAGTAGTAGCAAAGGTTGCCAATCTATGGTCCATTGCATTCCCATCTCTGGATATGAAATGCGAGGACCACTATCGACATCATTGAGAAGAGTGACAATATCCTATAGTATGGCAGCATTCAGTGCCATTTTAAAGTCACTTCGAAGGCTCTGAACAAGACGTAGAGAGTTACATTTCACCTGCACTTTGAGGCCGAAAGTGTTGGCAAGCTCGAATCCACATTTCTCCACCATTCCTTCAGCATCTTCTACAGATAATTACCCTGTGCGCCTGCTGGATGTTGCTGCAATAACATGGTCCTGATGATCCCTGATTACTGCTCCAAGTCCATACCATGTCTCGCCTGCAATAATGGACGCATACGTGTTAAATTTGAGTGCCCCCATCTCTGGTGTTCGGCCTTGCCTGGGACCCATCTCCAAACTTATCAGCTCCTTGGGAAGATAGCAACAAGTTCACTGCTGACTTCTCTACCTCCCCGGCTTCTCATGGCTGTCCACCATGCTGCCTCCAGTTCCTTTCTCCTCACATCATCCACATAATGCCGCTTATTATGACCAGTATGTCTGCTGAACCGTTTTCTGGAATATTCCCATCATCACAACTCGTGTTTCTGTTTCTCCAACATATGGTTTGATGGATTCCCAATGTCCAGCATGTTTCCAAATTGATTTGGCCTCAGCACAGGCAAATAAAGCGTGAATAGAAGTTTCCACCTTACCACAAGTGGGACAGCAACTTGTTTCACTAATAGACTTTTAAATAATTTCCCTTTTGTCGGCAGTGCGTCATTGTAGACTCTCCATGTAAGTAGCTGGACCCATGGTAAGATAGCAACAAGTTCACTGCTGACTTCACTACCTCCCCGGGTTCTCATGGCCGTCCACCATGCTGCCTCCAGTTCCTTTCTCCTCACATCATCCACATAATGCCGCTGATTATGACCAGTATATCTGCTGAACCGTTTTCTGGAATATTCCCATCATCACAACTCGTGTTTCTGTTTCTCCAACATATGGTTTGATGGATTCCCAATATCCAGCATGTTTCCAAATTGATTTGGCCTAAGCACAGGCAAATAAAGCATGAATAGAAGTTTCCACCTTACCGCAAATGGGACAGCAACTTGTTTCACTAATAGACCTTTTAAAAAATTTCCCTTTTGTCGGCAGTGCATCATTGTAGACTCTCCATGTAAATAGCTGGACCCTTTTCTTTTCATTTTTTCTGGGGGGAGGAGGCCTTTTAGTTTCCAGATTACAGTCCACCATTGCCATGCAATATTTGAGCTGGTTCCCTCTCCCAGTGCAGCCTGCTGTAGAAGGAAGAGGCATCCAGATTTCATAGTTCCAGATGAGCTTCTCACCGCACCTTGTGGAACTCAAGGGAATTGATAGGATTGCTTCTCGATCAGTTGGCCAGAATACCTCTGCAATTCTGACTGGGTCCCAAGTTCCTGCATCAGAACAGTTCACTGACCTTCCTCACATCCGGTTTGCTGGAGAAATATGTTTGAAAGATGGGACCTCTGGGGAGCCAAGCATCATGAAAAACTCGAACAGTTTCTCCATCTCCTATATGCAACTTCATGTCAGCGGTCAGAAGTTCCTGACCCAATAATAGTCTGCGCATACAAAAAGGAGGTTCCATTGACCATCCCTGCAGAAACAAAATCACAATTCTTGAAATATTTGCCTTTTAGCACCTGACCCTCTTAAGGAGGAGATCACTAAGGTTGCCATTTACCTATTTCAAGGACAAGTTTTTGCATACATTTTTATTAATTTAGAAATGCTATGACAGCATACTTGGGGGTTGCTAGAGAGTGCATTTTATTAGGTATATTAAGATTAATAAAAATATGTAAAATGGTGCAACCATAATTATGAGATGATGTGGTAGAGTGAAATAATTTCATATTAGCAAGGTTCTGCTCTAAATCCTTGCCTTTTCCTTTTTGTCATGGATGAGCTGAAAAGACATCACTTTTCAGAAATTTCCTAAGCATGTGTTTTACAGATTCTAACCACAAAATTAGGCACATCTTGTTAATCTTTTCCTTCAGCTTGTTCTATGACACTCTCTTCAGCTTCCTAGTCAAGTTTGTTTTCTTTCTATTACCTTGTAATCTTGTATGTATCTTTCTTTTTTCTACGTTTTCATAGTTTCCTTACCCTTTTTTCCTCAGTTCATCTAAGATCTTTAAATATTTTCTACCGATCATATCTACCTCATTTTTCAAATTTTTTTTAAGGGTTCACTCTAGTTTAATCTTTACATAAATTGTTTGGATTTGTTACTAACGTATTTGACCTTTCTCTACTTTATTGCCATGACTATTATCGTGCTATACTATTGCAGATATTGTTGTTTTTCCCCATCTTTTTTCCTTACCTGTTTTACCTGGTATTTTTAATTTCAAAGTGTATTGTATAGGATTAATCCATTATCAATGCATGATCTGTGTTTTCTTTCTTAGAAAATTATTGGTGCCACTGTTTGTGTTGCCCCCATATTTCTAGCTTTATATTTTTTTCTCATTCTTTCTTCTTCTAGTGTCTATAATCTATTAATCAACTTTGAGAATTGTAAGGGTTCACTTTGTTGTCAACATACTAAACTGAGTTTTGCCCCACTTGAAAAAAATTCTGAATCTGCCGCTCAGCAGAAATTTGAAAGATCAGGAATATTTCAATCCCTTCTCGAGTCAATTAAATTTAAGCAGCAATAGAGTTTTGTATCCATTTACTGATATGCTTT